ATATATTTTATAAAAAAACTTATTATATATATAGTTTAATATTAGTTTTTATAATTAATTATTCTTTTTTTAATATTTTAAATCTTTTTAATTATTTATTTATTTTTACTCTAGTATAAACTTGATATTTTTTTATTAAATAAAGTTATAATATTAAAAAAGTTTTAATTCCTTTTTCAAGAATCTAATAGTTATTATATTTACCTCTTTTTATTATTAAATCTATCTGATGTATTACTCGAATCTCTAAGTACAGGACGCGTACAGGCCGACTGTTTTTTCTAGGAGAAGGGATCTTGAATTGACTGCTGTTCTACAGTGAGAAGTACGCTGTACATATAGGGCCTTCAGGCCCTAGTAAGCCTGTAGCCTGCCGCTGTAGCCTGCCGGGCTACAGCGCTACTACTAGGCTCCAGTACCATTTCCAGGCTACAACACCGACCTTATCGGGTACCTAGCTAAAACAAGCTCCAACTTCCTTCCTACCTTTCTTGATCTATACGTCGCTACAAATATTCATCTTCGTTGCCTTTCCTCATCGAAAACCTCTTTTCGAACAATTTACCAACTCAAAATCGTTTGACATGGCAGGAACAATTACGACCAAGGTCATGATTATATCTGATACGCATTGCTTTCAATTCGGCGATGCTGAAAAGGTCCGAGGCCACTTTAAGCAACCACTCCCTAAAGTCGACATCATCCTCCACTGTGGCGACCTCACAGAGCGAGGTGGATTGAAGGCATATCAGGACGCCATCAGAATGCTTAGCTGTATCAATGCCGAACTCAAGCTAGTCATTGCAGGCAATCACGATCTCTCCCTCGACGGTCCCTATTGGTATACCAAGGGTTGCGATCCGGAAGACCCTGAAGACTATGCGGAGCATGAGAAGGGGATTGAAATTTTGAAAGGGCCATTAGCAAAGGAGGCAGGAGTCACATATCTCGAGGAGGGACTGCATACCTTTACTCTTACCAGCGGGGCCAAGTGCACCGTCTACGCCTCGCCATACCAGCCAGAATTCTGTGGCTGGGCTTTTCCTTATGAGCGGGATGAAGACCGATTTAACCTACCACACTAATCCGCCCCCCACGTAAAGAATATTACCGTCAACCCAGTCCCCGACTTTCCAGGGATCGATATCATGATGACACATGGGCCTCCGGAAGACATTCTCGACTGGGTCGCCAGCCCTCCCGGCACCACCGTAGGATGTCAGGCGTTGCTTCGAGCGGTCAGCCGCGCCAGACCTCTCCTCCACTGCTTTGGACATATTCACGAGGCATATAGTGCGACAGTAGTAACATGGAAAGATGATAGGGAGAAGATTGGAGCGGATGCCATCGAAGCTCGTAGCCCGCAGCCTAGTGTTTATCCCGACTCCTCCAACCGGCCTATTAAGTTTGGAAAAGAGACCATGATGGTGAATGCTGCTATCATGGATGTGAATTATAATCCGAGAAACTCTCCGTGGTTAGTAGATCTAGAGCTTCCACGTGCAGCGTGAGTTATGCTATATGATAGCTGCATACTCGGGCGCGTGTTTAGTTCATGAGACTTATGACCATATGTAAATAAACCACGAAAAATATCAAACTTAACTTTTTAAATAGCCACCTATGCTATAAATTCTTACTAAATAACGCTTAAAATGCTTAAGAAGGTTTAAAGGCTAAGGGCTATCAACAGATATCACACGTCCTGAAATTCTCGTGAGACAGGCCTCCCCTGTCCAGTCTCCCTATCCGTCGAACAGATGGCCACTGGCGACTCTCTCCCCCAAAAAATCAAGATTCTTGAGCAGTGCTTGCGGTGCATCCCAAACCTCCACCGACTTCCGCATAGTATCGCGTAGAATTTCCACCTTGGTCTGGACGACGTCTTGATCCATCTGTGGAGAGTCGAAAGTCTTCTGCACAAGTTTAACCGACGCGGCCAACGCAAGCACGTTGATGTTGAAGGAATTCGTGTAGAGGACCTGTTCTTCAGAGCTGCGGGAGACGATGTCGACGATATTGTCCGCTGCATCGATGCAGCTTTGTACGCCGAGCAGCCCTCCGCCGACCGTAGGGTATGGAAGTCGCGGGTTTAGCGGCGAGGTCTGGATCTGGTCGTTGTGGAGTGCCAGACCGGCCTCGACTTCTTGAATAGCTAGGAAGTGATGAGCCATGTACCGGGCCATTTCTATCATCATGGCAATGTTGTAGATGGCCGAATGCTGCTGTCGCAGGTGACGCATCGAGCATGGCTGCGGTGATGTGAATGTCAAGGGGCCGCTGAGGAGCTTTAGCGACTCGGGGAGGGCCATTTTAAGGCTCTGTAGGTTCTTGATCAAATTCACGACTTCTACAGGCGTCTGCGAGGTTTGTCTTGCATCCAGCGTCTTTTGGCTGGTCCCCTTGGTGAAGGCAAAGTATTTGTCCTTGTTGGCTACCCATAGAGCCCCTTTGTATTCGGATTGGGATTGGGCATCCCGCATGAGTGCAATAGCTATAATCAGCCAGCAGAGCGGACTTTCATTTCCGAGTTTCTGCATTGTGTTTATCAGGTTGGATATATTTGAGCTCAAGAATACGCTGTTCTGGTGCCGGTTTTGGAACCACGCATCGTCTGAGACGGGCAGAAGGGTCTGGACTTCACTGGTTCTTAAGCTGCCCGGGCACCGTCGAATGGAGCTGGAATAGGAGTCCATCTCCCATATGGCCCACCAAGCTCGCCGCGCTTCTTCATCCTGAGACCACTGACAGAGGTCAGGTGGATCCTTTTCCAGTCCATCCGGATACAATTCGAAGTCTATCAAATGTAAATTCAATTCATATGCCAGCTGAATGCATAGACCAAGAGATCTCCATGCCTTTCCGTACACGCCGTGTGTCATGGAATATGAAGTATTGATTATGCAAGCTTGCAAAAGGCAAAGGGGTGGTGTGTCATCTTCATACTGTCTCATAGCATCGGCGAATAGCCGGACTGCAAGACTATGCAATTTTTGTGGATCTGGGGGCTCTGGGGGCTCTTTGTCCCCTATTTCACTTGTACCATGATACTCGTGCCATCGACTCGCGCTGTGGCCTGGAGGCCATCTCTGTTGCTCGATTCGCGCAGCGTATGAACATACGGATGCCAACAGCGCTTTCAGATGGAGAGGCTGCTGTATGGAATTAAGTTTATCCTTGAAGGACGGCTTGTGGAATAGCGATAAGACCATGACGTGGGACAAGTAAACATCAATCCTGCCATTTCACCCATTAGCGGAATGTTCAATTGACCCGCCAGCATGCACACGTCCAATCCAACCTTTTCTCAATTCCGAGAAGACTCACAGATGTAAAAGTGTGACCGATGAGATCTTCATCTCAATGCTTATTTGATGAAGCAGTCGATCGAAATTGGGAGTTCTTAGACTGACCGTCTCCATTCTACCGACTTGCAAGGTTCTTAAATTCTCATGTACCGGATGGACCAGCGCGCTCAACCCCGCAGCACGACAATTGCTCGATTCGTGGGAAGCCAGCGGATAGAAGATTTGGGGAGACCAAGATGCAGGCGAGCCCATATAAGCTGTCGTCGTCTCCCAATAGTCGCCAGCAGTTTCTAATTGTCCAGGAAGAGGCAAAAAATACTGTGGCGTCCTCATTTCAAAATCGTCCAAAGGAGGGAGTGGATGGTTGCTGGTAAGATGATTTCTGGAAGTCTCGGCCCCAAAAAGCTCATCGAGATTTTCCGCTTGCTCTGAAAGCCAGTCCACGTCGGTCGAGGGTAGCCTTTGACTCCTCCCGGGCCCTGACCGTTCAACACGACATCAGGTTTGCATTCAACACGTCAAAAACCCTTGAGGAAGCAGCAAGGGACTACTACGAACGTACCATCTTTAGGCCCCGGCTTGAGACGTTCGACGGGGAAGACGCACTGCTGCGAGAGGCGCGCACAAGTACCGCATCGTGGCTGTTTCTTATCACTGAAGCAGTGTGTTAGGAGTCGTCTTGATTTCTGGATCCCGCGCTGGTCTCTCGAACGTACCACTTCGACTTGCGTCTGCCGACTGGGGTAAGCATAGCAACTCAAATGGGATGGGATTAAAGAATGCTCGGGGAAATCCACCCACCTTCGGCATGATTCACATGCCAGTTGAGGCAAACTAGGGCGTAAGTTGTTGTCCATAGATAATATGAGCTCAGAGAATAACAAGTGCAAAGGTGCCTGTGTCAAGCGTGTGCAGTGTAGTGTACAAGTAGTGCAGGGACTCATTTCAGACAAACCTTATACTTTAGTACAAGATGAAAGCAAATGGCAACCCCGCAATCTTACCTTGGCCCTAACGAATCTTGGGGTAAATGTGGAGTGAATGTGGGGAAATAGTGGAGAATGGCCATCTTTTGTTCCGAGACAAGTACTCGCGGCAGGGCTATTCCTGATGGGTATAGCAGTACGAATTTGTGATACTGCACTTATTGTCCGGCAAACGGATGACAGGCCAAAAAAGAAAACATTCAAGGTTTTAGAACTGATCATGAGAATCTCGGTTTTTTGTTTGTTTAAAGGGTTATAAATGACTCGCGTCGCATCGCACATCAACATCTTGAATTACATACGCGTTCCACTTCTCTAAGCCCCGGAAAACAAATCTCCTCTCATCTAGGACTCACTTTCACTTTGTTCACGCTAAAACAAATCCACTCAGCCCCTCGGTCAGAGAAGTGTTGATCTGTTGAATGTACAGTGGCACCCCTCCCAGATAGTTCAGCATTTCTTTTCTTTTCCCCGGAATGTTGGTCCCCATGTACTCGGACTTGGTCAGTGGTAGCAAGGTCTGATCGCCAATGAACTGAACTTGCTTCGCCCAGTCTGTTTCGGATTGCCTTGTCGCTTCCAAGCTAGTGAGTTTCTGATCCCGTATATGCTTCAGGGCGCCCACGATCCAACCGCCCTGGAGTTCAGCGCATGTCGGCCCATTGCAGAAGCTCGTTGGGGCCTGTGGTCCATAGTGAAAGATGAGATTAGGGAATCCAGCAGTGGCGAAACCAAGATGAGTCTGGACGCCGCCTTCCCATTTTTGCGCGAGTGGCAAAGCATCTTTTCCCTTGATGTCAATCGCAAGGATACCACCAGTAACAGAGTCAAAGCCTGTAGCCAAGACCAGCACATCAAGCTCGTAGAACTTCCCGTCAGCAACCAGCACTCCATCCGGGGTGACCTCTTTGATCGCATTCGAATTGAGATCCACCAAGCTGACATTGCTACGGTTGTACACTTCGTAATAGGCCTGTTCGAGCGTAGCACGTTTGGTCCCGAAGTAGTAAGGAGCCTTCTCTGGGGCCAAAATTTCGGCCAGTTCTGGACTTTTAATCCGTTGGATAACTTTGCTCCTCCAAAACTTGTAGGCATAGTCGCTGGCGACAGGGCTCGTAATGGTGTCCTTATAAGTAAAGAGCCAGAATCCCGCTCCTCCTCGGGTCCAGAGGTCCTCATAGAAGCGTTCGCGTTCTTCGTCAGAGACCTCCAAGGCCGACTGCGAACTGAACTCGTCCTCCAAGCCAGGGAACGTTGTGTTTCGATGGTCGTAAACTTCCTTGGTCTGCAGCTTCTTTCCTGCATCAAGCTTCTCCTGCCGCATTGGCAGCGCATAGGTAGGGCTCCGCTGAAAGACCACAAGATCTTTGACATCTCCGGCGATATCTTGAATGACTTGAATTCCACTAGCGCCGGTTCCGATAACGCCAACTCGCTTTCCATGGAAGTTAAAACCCTCTTTTGGCCATTTTGAAGTATGTGCCTGGGTCTTGAATGTATCCAAACCTTTGATGTCCGGAATCAATGGTTTGGAAGCGAAACCAGTGGCTAAAACGACGAATCTGGTCTCAAAAGTGTCGGACTTGGTCGAGACATTCCAGACTCCCTTTTGCTCATCAAAGTAAGACTTTTCAACGCGACTGTTGAATTTGATGTCCTTCTTAAGATTCAGTTTTGAATCCACATGCTGAAAGTATCGCTGTATTTCCTCGACCCCTGGATATTTCTCGGTCCATGTCCAGTCGCTCCAGATCTTTTCGTCGGAAAACTCGTAAAGGGGCACCCTGGTATCGGTCCGTGCGCCATTGTACGTGTTCCAGTACCAGACGCCACCAAGATCCGAGGCTTCTTCAAGGAGAAGTGTTTTGAAGCCTTCCTTTCTAAGTTCGTTGAGTATATAACATCCTCCAAACCCGGCACCAACGACTATCACATCATACTGAGGCTCCTGGCTTGTCATGGTCACGTGGTATTGATATTGATGCTTTGTTTCTTTTTTTTTCTTTTTCTTTCCTTCTGTGCAACATTGACATTCTCGAGCCCGCCTTTGATCTTATAACCAGCCTTATTCCGATACATTATTTTTCAAAGTACTGTCGGGGTTATTTATGTCCAGATGTGGCCTAGTTTATGAGACCCATGGGAGCTACCGGTATTCCAGTTTGTGGGGTAGAAACCCCGATTTGGAGTACCGAATAAGAGCACCGATTGGAGCGGAGCCTCGGGTCGGAACAAATATATCATCTAACCGATGAATGAAAGCATGGGTCGGGCTAATTTCGATGTAGTTTTAATCAAAAGATGACCCGATAAAACCATGTCCCTGCCATGCCACCACTCATTTCGTACTTAAACTAGTTTCCTTACAATTTATCCTCATCCTTCCACCATCAGTCGTAACTCGCTGCAGACAGATGTGAAGGAACGCCGCCATGTCTTCGAGAAACAGCACGGTTGTTTATCTGTTGGCCGTCTGGGCCGTCGTGGCTTTTTACAATGTTTACGTATTATCAATCACAGGAGGCCTCCTGCAAGATCTCTTCAATGCTAGTCAGCAGACTCCTCGACTATGGCCGGGGACACTGGTAGTGATGAGAGAGACCATTCTAGGCCTCAGGCCCGTTGACTGGCATCTGAATAACCTGATTTCCTTCTGGACACCCATCATCTTCCGACAAGGCGAGGCTTTGAACGCCTTCACGCCATTTTTCATGCTTCAGTGGGTTTCGGCTTTTGCTTTCCTGAACCTCGAGTGTCTGCGTGAGGGTAATAGAGGACTCGCGGTGGGGAGGTAAGCAAGTCGAACTCCTGTGCAAAAAATAGCAACCTTCTGAACGTCTACAGCTTTCTTGCTCTCGGTTCGACCGTGCAGATGATCGGAATGGGCCCTCTGGTTGCCTTCTACTTTATGTGGCATGCGAGAACATCGCCCATTGCAGACGTGAAGAGAGTTCGCGAAGGCGCATCTGCGATTCTCGTCCCAAGCTCTGCTCTGAAGGCACTACCGTACTCCGTTATCATCGGCTTCGTTCTTCCAACAATCCCTTGGATGTTGCCAACACCTTCAGTTATTTCTCCTGCGACAATGCACCTATTCCAGGTATTGTGGCAACCTTTCCCTCTCTACATGGTCGGATTGCAGAGACTCCTCGAAAGTATTTGGGATGTCAGCGAAACATCGGTCCCCAAAAAACGTATCAAGGCGTACATCTCTCAAGTTTCAAACGTCTATCGCCTGATCCTGGTATTTTGTGTGGTATCTCAAGTCTCAACAGTCTTCTACATTATCTTTGCCAGCGATCTATCCCTCCAGGATGTCTTTCTCCCCCCTTCCCGTCTCCAAGCTGGAAAATGAGTAGTGCCGCGGATGGCGCTCATGTTTTCGTATTGTGGGACTACTATGGGACAGGAGTAGCGGCACTGGTATGGGCACTGTCGCTCTGGAAATCGGCGTATACAACAACGGAACCACGCTCAGATATTCCTTGGGGGAAAACCGTGACCAGACTCTCGATATTCACGCTGCTAGGAGGACCAATTGCTGCGGCTACTGATTTGCTGTGGGAACGTGATACTATTTTAAGCCAGGGGCTAAAGAAAGAGGTGTAAGCTAGACTGTATCAGAGCAATATAGCTCGCCAATCTAATACGGGGCTTGTTATCGGCCGTACGTATTGCACAAAAGCGTTTGAATAGTTGCCATTTGTATAAAGGTTCGTGGAGACCAACTATATCATAAATCTTTTAGACTTAAATATCCCAGGCGATACTGCCTTACTATCGTGCTTAACATAATCTGTCCATCGTATGCTTTTTCTTTGCTTTATTCAAATTAGAATAATGTTTCGGTAGCTTGAACCATAATTTCGAAGGTTTTATAGAGCGCGTTTGAGATCCAGGTCTTGTATTCTAATAATTTGACAAATGTAGGGAGGTAAGAGGTAAGGTTCTGAGGAACCAGTCACTTAAATACAGTTTGTGGACCACGTAGATGCGGTCGATCCAACTCTATTAGGTCATACTGAGGCTCAGATGATAGCATGACAATACTACCTACATAAATGGTACTGCATCAGATGTCGCTAGCCGACAGATGCTCAACAGAAAATATTTGCCAACCGCTCATTCAACAACCTGAACCAAAGATAACTCCAAAATTGCAACGCCCGAATTTGTCGTTGGAACAGACGCGTTGAATCTCACTTTTACTTGCTGATCAAGCACACCCCAAAGAACGAAACGATTCCAATTTCAACGGAAACTTTGCTGAACGAACATCATACCGGCCCGCAAATGCCGATTAAGTCTCCGTCAGCCAGGACCTTCGCTCTGAATATTGCCTCCGTCGCTCAGATTCAGATAAAAGACCATCCATCAAAACACAGGTCTGTTCTCTCATTACCAGTTACACCCCGTTGCCGTTCGAAGGAGAACGGGCCGAGTCCTGTTCAATCTTCTTTGGAATCAGGTTGAGGAGCAGATCCTCTTCGCCTTCGGACCGGATAGCGAAACAGAGGCAGATGGAATCAGCGATTAGTTGGCCGCAGAAAACCAACCCAATGAACCAGAAGCCAAGAACCCCGTTCCAAGCAAGCGGTCCCGTCTTGGCAGTATGCATCGCGTTTCCCGGAAGATAAAATATTGGCGCTAGAATATTGAACCAAGCCATTCCCCTGGGGAAGATTGTCCTAGGCCCTGGATCTCTGAGGATGGCGTAGGCAAATACCCAGTTCTGGACTATGAATGTGGGCCAGGGCATGATCAGTTGAAAGTAGAACGCATCGGTGAGCATCTGGGTGATCTCAGGGTTTCGCTCGAGACGGTATGGGATCACGGCCAGGACCAAAGCTGGGATCACATACGTGAAGACTCCCGAGGCGCCGCATGCCAGTTGGAGAGCGGGAACAACGGCATGAATCCTGGGGATTCTTGACGTTTGGATGGCGAGCGTCGCTGTGAAAGGAAGATAGAAGACGGCGGATAAAAGCATGATTGCAACGCCCGCTTTGGCACCCGATTCATGCTTTCTCCAATATTCGGTCGTCTGCTCGGGGGTAAACCATGGTTTGATGGGTGGGAGTTGATGCGCTGCTACTAGAGAGAAGAAGAACAGGACAGAACTGAGGGTGCCGCAAGCTGCACCCCAGTACTGGATGTTTTTGGGTGCGGAGAAGTTGACCATGATAACAGGAGTGTATAGGTAGGTAGTTGAATATAGGTAAGGGTTTAGACGGGTCAATGAGGAGGTCTGTCTACCTTAACACTTATGAAACTAAAGAGGTACCGGGCACTCTGAAGAATAAATTAGTGTCGAGAACGTTAAGCAACTAGCTATAGCTGCCGCCAATCTTATCCCAAAGCATTGTATATAGATACCACGCACCCTATATGGAACTAAGACTACACTTAGCCCATAAACATCCAAGTGATTTTGTCGCGGGGTTTTTCATACTAACATGGTGGATGCTGTATCTGCCGGATTTCGCAAGTCAGCCCGGTCCGGAATCCACTTTAACAAGAGGCCCGAGATCTAGTGCGAGCGATGGATACTCCACTCCGTATGTGAACCGACTCGTTCGACGAATAGAAAAGCCTTTCCCCAGATTCTCTAACATATTTGAGGCTGGCAGGAGTTTGCAGATCGGCCGACGGGTGGCTCCTTGGACGTCTCTGATTAGTGCATCGGGACTATTCAGGACAGGGTTCGGGTTTCGCTCGCTAAACTAAAGGGAGGACCCGAGAGAAGCGCGAGACTAAGGTAAAGTGCGGGGTTTATTTATTTATTTATTTATTCCATTAACGTTCTGTGTAAGTCTAAGACTATATAGGACGGCGCTAGCCTAATGCTAGCGCGGGCTAGTAATATAGTTAAGAGATATATTAATATATTTCCAGTTGAAATCTATAGGACTAAGCCTAATACGGACTAGGTCCCTAAAGCAATAACGCTATAATAATAAAAGTCCTCTAAGGCTCTAAAAATCGCATAACTATTGAAAATACAGCCCTTACGGTGTCAGGTGACGCGGCTGCTAGAGGACGCGTATGAAGTTATAAGAACCTCGTTTTTACTTCTATAGTAGCTTTCCTTCTTAAGCTAATATAACCTCTTTAATTCAGTTTCTTAACTATATTCCTATCTAGTTTATATATTCTCCTAGAGGTAATAATCCTAGGAGATATATAGTTCTAATAGATTATAAGCCTAGTTATAAGAATAAAAGCTTTTAGTTTTCACTTAAAACAATCCTACTACTATATAAGTTTAAGAGCAGTCTATAAATAGTAAAGGTAATATTTAAAGAGATAATATAGCACGTCTATAAAAAGTAATATTAAAAGAGATAAAGCTTTTAAATTCTATTTACTTAAGATGTAAATAAAGAGAATTAATAATTATAAGGCTATTAGTAATCTATTAAGATTAAACTCTATATATTATAATAAGCTTATAGTAAGAGAGTATTATATAGTCTATTAATTAAGGTTTAATAAAAAAGAAATAGTTATTTCTTAAGCTCTAGAGGAGTAAAAAAGAGAGAGAGAAATAGAGTTTCTTAGCTCTAAGAGAATATAACTTTATAAAACCTCTTTATATATAAATTTAGATATATAATAGAAGTAAGCTATTATAACTTGCTTTATGCTTTTATTTCAATTTCTTTTATATGTTTTTTTAATACTATAACTATTTACTCTAGCTATATAAATTTTCTATATTATCTAGAAAACTTATATATATAAGACTCTTTTATTATAAATATTTCTTTTATAAGAACTATTATAAAAGATACTAATATAATAGTAGAGAATAAATTATAAAAGATACTAGTTTTAATAAGAGAGAATTATAAGAAGTAGTTCTAACTACTTAAAGCTAAGCTTTAAAAAAAGGCAATTAAGTATATTATTAATAAAAGCATTTATTAATATATAAAATATACTATTATAAAAGATATCTTTAAAGCTATAAATACTCTTAAAAACCTATTACTTAATAATACTTTAAGTTTATTTAAAGCTTTTTTATTTTTAATAATACTAATTATTATACTAATTTATTATAATATTTAAAAAAGGTAAAATATAAGAAAAATAAAAGAACTATTAAGTTCTACCTTTTTTAAAAGCTTAGTAATAATAACTAGAGTCTCTTAAATAAATATAAGATAGTAAAAAAACTTTAGAAATATCTTAAGATAAAGTATACTTAATTAAATAAGATTACTATAAGGAAATTTATAAAGAAGCTTTATAACTGTCACGGTCCCACGTGACTAGTCATGTGATAGGGCTGACTAAGCAGCTTCCACATTAAACTCTATCGGCCTCCACTATACTTAGCTCTTTATTTTATATTCTAAGTTATATTTACACATCTAGTTCTAGCTTATCTAAGTGTAATTATAATATTATATAAAGTCCTTTTAGTACTACTAATTATAATCTTATTCTCAGGTCTTATTTCTAGGTCTTATTTATAGTTTTATCTTAGGATATAAATTACTTCTATTTTTATTAATATAATATAATATATAAATCCTTTTTACTACTCTAGTCTATAATATAAACGCTTTCTAGAATTCTAATTTCGATTTTTATATTATTATTTCTAACCTATAAGCTAAAATCCGACTTTTATAAATAAACTAGCAAATTTAGTCTTATCTAAAAGCCTCTCTTCTAGATCCTAAATATTTTAATAGATAGTTATATAAATTTAATACTTAGCTACCTTTTATTTAAGCTAAATTATAATATAATAGACCTGTAATTAGTAATATAGTAGCTTAGTTCTATTATATCTACTTAAACCTTAATTCCTATATTTAAGTAATAGTACTACTACAGCTAAGTTAAGTAGAGGAGGTCTAATATTAGAATTATATCTTAATTCTAGACTAGCTAGTATATATATATAATAACCTAAATAAGATCTAAGAAGTAGAAAATAAACTGCTTTTACTTTAATAAGGCTCTAATTTGCTACTAGCATATATAGCTAAATTTAAGCGCGTTTTATATAAAGCTTAAAGTTAAGACTAGCTAGATATTAATAAGATTTTAACCTTCTAAAATAGGCTTAGCTCTACCTTTTACTTAAAGCTCTCTTAATAGCTTTAGCTTTCTTATATATATTCTAATTTTATATAAGTTATATAGCAGCTTTCTAGCTAATTCTTAAATTACTAGAGCTCTATATAGATAAATAATCTAAATCTTTATTTATATATATAAAATAACCTAATAGAGTTAAATATAATAGTACTTACTAGCTGCACTTACTTAATATCTCTATAGTAGTATAGCAGATATAGATAAGAAGGATAGTATATAAGATGCAGCTCTATAGACTACTAGGTTCTAGTATACCCCCTAGAGCTATTTAGTAGAGGAAAAGGGATAGATATTAGAAATAGCAGAATACTAATATAAATGCTATATAATAATTCTAATTAGACATCTAAGAGAGAGTAATTTTAAGCTTAAAGTTAAGCATTTTCTCTTCTTAAAAGAGAAGTAGTATTATAGTTCTATATAACTAGTTATATAATAGAGCTAACTAAGTAGCTTTTATATTAAACTCTATTAGCCTCTATTATACTTAGCTCTCTACTTTATATTCTAAGTTATATTTACACATCTAGTTCTAGCTTATTTAAGTGTAATTATAACACTTTTTAATTAATTCTTCTTATATTAAATTTAGGCTTTTACTTTATATATTTAGTATTTACCTTATAATATTAGAATTAACTTATCCTCTTTTTAAAATCCTTTATTAAATAAGAATCCTAAGTAGATATCTTAAGCTATATATAATAGACTTAGCTATTTATATAAAAAAGATTATACTTCTAGACTATATATAGCAGATCTAGTAGATATAATTCCGGATTATATATAATAAGCCTAAAGAACTATAATTCTAGATTATATATAGTAGGCCTAATAATTATAAATTCCTAACTATATATAATAAGCTAGAAGATTATAATTCTAGATTATATATAATAAGCCTAATAATTATAAATTCCTAACTATATATAATAAGCTAGAAGACTATAATTCCTAATTATATATAGTAAACTAGAAGACTATAAATTCTTAACTATATATAATAAGCTAGATAAATATATAAAAGGAGTTAGATCTTTAATAAAAGATAGTAAGACGCTTTTAATTATTATATAAAAAAAATAAGCTTCTAGTAACTAAAGGGTTATTATATAAAGAAGTCTTAAACTATAATAGTAGACTTTAAGTACTATAAGATAAGAAAGTAAAGTAAAGTAAAATAGTCTTAACTTACTTAATTTACTTTAAAAATAGCAGATAATACTTCTAATTTAGCTTTTATGCTATAATAGCTATAAGATGCTTTTAAAGCTTAAGTATAATAATTAGTATTATAATTCTAGCAGATTAGAGAAATAGTAGTCTAGTAAGTAGTAATAATAGCTATACTAGCTTATAGAATTGCTTTTATAGAAGAATAACTTATAAGACTTAATAAACTCTTCTTAATACCTTTTTTATATTAGTATCTATAGTTAAACTATATAATAATCTTATATAAAAACTAAAAGAAA